CTTATGCTGAAGGCCCTTCACCTTCAGTACCGGCCCTGCCTATCATCTCTCATTTGCTATCATGTTGCTGATTCCCACCTCTGATAGACCCCTAATGCTAGCCTCTACTGCCCACTTGTAAAACAAGCACCTTTGTGCTTTCTCCCATTCTTCCCCTCATGCTTGGGAGGAACTCCTGTAAACATCTGCAAAGCTATCTCATTATTCACCTTCAATAATTGCCTTTGCCATTATGCCTAAAAAGCTCTGAACAACAGTTAGGCTGCAGGTGTGCTGCGATCTCTGCCTATCATGCTGACTAATATCAACTGATTGTACTTCCCTTCGGTCTGTATCTATGTGTTGTTTCTTGTCTTGTACTTAGATTGTAAACTCCTTGGTGCGGGGGCCATCTTTTTGTTCTGTGTTTGTACAGCACCTAGCACAATGGGGCTCAATGGTAATGCAAATACTAGTGATGCTGTATGTAGGGATTTCATGATGGTCTGGGCAAGGATTTTATGAATTGATTTAACAAAGAATAACAGAAGTTGCAAGTCATGCATTTAAAAAAAATCACCTTTATTGAACACCCCATGATGCAAAATGAAAACCAGGGCAAAATTTGCAAAAATTCATTCCAGCGCCTTATAATAGGCATAGTTCATGCAAGCTCTCACAGAGCTCTTGTTACTGTCCCCGAAATCTTTCTAACCCTGCCAGTGTGCCTTTCCTATTTTGAGTCACTGGATCGGGTCCCAGGAATGGCCCCTTCTTTCATTTGCTTGATAACCTCTTGTGTAACTTGGCATTCTGGTGAGTGCTGTTAAGACGGGACTGGATCTCCTCTTCCCAGTGGGCAAGGAAGTCCAGGACCTCAGCATGAGACCATGTGAAAGCGTGGGGCATGGCTGCTATGACTGGTGAGGTATGTGGCACCAGGTGTGTGTACTTTCCACAAGCTGGAATTGCAAAGAGACACATCTGGCTACATGACAGCATTTAAAGGAGGAGGTGATGTCTTATCAAGATGTCCCTGAAGCTGTAGCGGGCACACAGGTAAACAGACAGACTGATCCAGCTGTAGGGCAGAGCAGCGTGGGATGGCAATGGGAGAACTGCCAGAGGTGGACCATTGTGAATTGAAATGGGAATTTGATCACACCAACTGTGTTCTGGAAAAACTCATCCTGCATGCCAGCAAACTCATTTCCAAGGAGGGTTCATTAAAGCAGGGAATGAGAAATAAAATCCTCTGTCTCTGAACACAAGGCAGTTTTCCCCCGAAACACTCAAATTAACTCAAAACAACATGCAAATGTAGTCAAGTCTTACGTAACTGGAGCAAAACATACATCTGATATGGAGCATATCACCCTCTAAATGAGACATAGCTGAAAGGCACATCCCTAGGAAATACCAAGGTAAGAATGCAGTTTCCCAGCTAGAGTGATTCGTCACTTCAGACAATGAGACACAACCATATGTGGAATAAATTTGTATTATGGAGGCTACGTGCCACACATGGCAGATAATCTGAATTTACTATGGCAACATTTTTTAAGAAGATAACAAGTTCTTTTTGTCTTCAGGCCTTTTACTAACAGTCAGATCTAGATCTATCTGCACCCGGTCTATGAGTGATCATACTATATTAACAGTTTGTTTACGTTTGGGGGTTACTGGTGTACTATGGACAGGGGGTGAATAACAGATCACCTCGTGTATGCACAAATTTTGATCTGACACTAATATATACAATCCAAAAGAAGGATTCCTAAAAGAGAAGGAAGGATGCTCTCATGGCTATGGCACTGAAATGGGAATCAGGAGACCTGGGACTAATTCTTGGGTCTGCCACAGATTTCCTAGGTAATCTTGTGCAAATCACTTAATCTCTCTGTGGGAAAATATGTAAAGTGTGGGTAACAATGTTTCCTTTCTCTCACACTTTTGTGTGCCTTGTTTGTTTAGATAGTCCCTGCCCTGAAAAGTATGCAATCTCTCACTAAAAGAAAAGGAGTACTTCTGGCACCTTAGAGACTAACCAATTTATTTGAGCATCAGCTTTCGTGAGCTACAGCTCACTTCATCGAATGCATGTAGATCACGAAAGCTTACGCTCAAATAAATTGGTTATTCTCTAAGGTGCCGCAAGTACTCCTTTTCTTTTTGCGAATACAGACTAACACGGCTGTTACTCTGAAACCAATCTCTCACTGTGTCTGTAGAGTGCTTACCACAATGGGTCCTCGGTCTTGATTGGGGGCCTCTAGATGCTGCTGTAATACAAATAGAATAATAGAAATGGAGGGGTGAAAAAGACCAAGAGAGGTCCTGAAGTCCAGCTCCCTGTGCTGAGGCAAGGCCAAGTAACCCTAGACCATCCCTAACAGGGGTTTGTGTAACATTTGCTAAAACCTCCAGTGATGGGCATTCCTCAGCCTCCTTTGGAAACCTATTCCAGAGATTAACCATCCTTCAAGTTAGTAAGATTTTCCTAAAATCAAACATAATTCTCCCTTGCTGCAGATTAAGCTCATTATTACTTGTCCTGCCTTCAATGGACATGGAGAACAACTGATCATCATCTTCTTTGTAACTGCCTTTAACATATTTGAAGATGGTTATACCGTCCTGCCTCAGTTGTCTTTTCTCAAGACTAAACTGCCCATTTTTTTAACTGTTCCTGCTAGGTCAGGTTTTCTAAATCTTGCATAGTTTTTTTTTTCCTCTCATCTGGATTCATAGAATCATAGAATATCAGGGTTGGAAGGGACCCCAGAAGGTCATCTAGTCCAAGCCCCTGCTCGAAGCAGGACCAATTCCCAGTTAAATCATCCCAGCCAGGGCTTTGTCAAGCCTGACCTTAAAAACTTCTAAGGATGGAGATTCCACCATCTCCCTAGGTAACCTACTCCAGTGCTTTACCACCCTCGTAGTGAAATAGTGTTTCCTAATATCCAGCCTAGACCTCCCCCACTGCAACTTGAGACCATTACTCCTTGTTCTGTCATCTGCCATCACTGAGAACAGCAGAGCTCCATCCTCTTTGGAACCCCTCTTCAAGTAGTTGAAGGCTGCTATCAAATCCCCCTGACTCTTCTCTTCTGCAGAATAATCAAGCCCAGTTCCCTCAGCCTCTCCTCATAAGTCATGTGCCCCAGCCCCCTCATCATTTTTGTTGCCCTCTGCTGGACTCTCTCCAATTTGTCCACATCCTTTCTGTAGTGTGGGGCCCAAAACTGGGCACAATACTCCAGATGTGGGCTCACTAGTGCCAAATAGAAGGGAATAATCACTTCCCTGATCTGCTGGCAAGGCTCCTACTAATGCAGCCCAATATGCCGTTAGCCTTCTTGGCAACAAGGGCACGCTGCTGACTCATATCCAGCTTCTCATCCACTGTAATCCCCAAGTCCTTTTCTACAGAACTGCCACTTAGCCAGTCGGTCCCCAGCCTGTAGCAGTGCATGGGATTCTTCCGTCCTAAGTGCAGGACTCTGCACTTATCCTTGTTGAACCTTATCAGATTTCTTTTGGCCCAATCCTCCAACTTGCCTAGGTCACTCTGGACTTTATACCTACCCTCCAGCGTATCTACCTTTCCCCCGCAGCTTAGTGCCATCTACGAACTTGTTGAGGGTGCAATCTATCCCATCGTCCAGATCATTAATAAAGATGTCATTAATAAAGATGTTCATCCAATCCATACTTTTTTTAACTTGCTGTGAAGAATACTGTGGGAGACCATATGAAAAGCTTTGCTAAAGTCAAGATATATCACATCCACCACTTTCCCCATATCCACAGAGCCAGTTACCTCTCTTTGTCTGTATTTTTCTTAGAGTGTGGCACCCAGAACTGGACACAGTATGATAGGCATCAACTCCATGGGTGCTCCACGGCTGGAGCACCCACCGCAAAAATTAGCGGGTGCTTAGCACCTTCTGGCAGCCAAGCTCCCCTCCTCCCCCCAGCTTCTCATGCCTGCTAGTGGCCCCACCGATCAACTCCTTCCCCTCCCCCCGAGTATCTCCTACATGCCACGGACAGGGCATGCTCGTGGGAGGGGGAGGGAAGAGGCGGGGCGGAGGTGGGAGCCTGGGGGAAGGGGTGGACTGAGGGCAGGCCTGGGGTGGAAGGGGAGGAGTCGAGCATCCCCTGGGTAGAGAGGAAGTCAGTGTCTATGCACAGTACTCCAGCTGAGGCCTCATCTGTGCCAAGCAGACTGAGGCAATTTATGTCCCATCTTACATACGTTCCTGTTAATAAACCCCAGAATGATAGTAGCCTTATTCGCAGCTGCATCACATTGTTGAGATCTTTTTCAGTAGTGCTCCCACTTAGACAGTGATTTTGTAGTTGTGCATTTGATTTTTCCTTCCTCGGGGTAGTACTTTGCACTTGTCTTTATTGAATTGCATCTTGTTGATTTTAGACCAATTCTCTAATTTGTCAAGGTCCTTTTGAATTCTAATCCTGTCCTCCAAAGTGCTAGTGACCCCTCCCATCTTGGTGTCATCCACAAACTTTATGAGCATACCCTCCATTATCCAAGTCATTAGTGAAAATACTGAATGGCGCCAGACCTCACTAGATAGGCCCTCCGTGTTTTACAGTGAACCATTGATGATAACCCTTTGAGTACGGTCTTTCAACCCGTTGTGCACCCACCCTTATAGAAATTTCATCTAGATTGCATTTCATTAGTCTGCTTATAAAAATGTCATGCGGGACTGTGTCAAAATCCTTACTAAAATCATGGTATATCACATCTACTGCTCCCCGCATCCACAAGGCCAGTAACCCTGTCAAAGAAGGAAATTAGATTGGTTTGGTATGATCTGTTCTTGACATGAAGAAGGAAGGAGAAGAGAAAAGAGGTGTAAAAGCAGTGAAAAAATGGTTAAAAACAAGGAGATAATTCTGAAGAATGGGGATCATATAAATACAGTGATCAACAGACTCCCGTGTCACCTCCTTACAGATATTTTATGTTTTCTTTCTTTGTTATTTAGGTCCAATAAACAATATGCTTCTGACGTATGGAACAGAAAAGGAACTGGAGGAGAAGCACACCTATGAATATGTGGATGAAAACGTAATTGAAAACATAAGGAAAAAATTCCAAGAAAGCACAGTTCATCATAAAACGTATCCCCTGAAGAAGAAGAGGGAAGGTGGGTGTGTCATTCGATCACTTACGAATGTTAACAAATGCGTGCCACTGTTTTCAGATCTAATGGCAGTCTTCACTCTTCATGAATTTGGGAATTGTCTGTGAAAGTGTCCAAGTCTCTACAGTAGCCTTTTCTGAGGAACAGGGGCAGAGCAGGGGAGACACCAATAGTACAATTTATGACTCACTGTCACTGTTTAGAATGACACCTTGTTAAATAGACACCGAGTCATTCGAGCTGAGTGAAATTTTTTGCACAATAGTTTATTCACCAAAAAATGCAGTTTCATTCAACCAAAAAGTATTTGCAAATTTGACACAGATGCGCTGAATAGTTTTGGACAAAAAATATTTGTCCAGTGGTGGTGCTGCTGCCCCGCCTCCTTTAGAAGAGGATGCCCTGGGATGTAGGGCAGTCTGGAGGTGGGTGTCTGCACTGCAACAAGGGATGTAATTTGCAGCTTGTATAGATGTACCCACACTAGCTTTTAATTTAGGAAGCTTGCTAAAAATAATAGCAAGTATGTGGCAGCCATGAGCTAGCAATGCACGTATATACCGGGGGAGGGGGAACAGGGGCAGGCGGCCTTGTACAGCCTGCACTGAAGCCTATGCCGCCACATCCTCGCTGATCTTTATAGCAAGCTAGTTAGGGTTCAGCTATGTCTGCACAAGCTACAAATTGCAGCCCTGCCTCAGTGCAGATGTGGCCATAACCCTCTCCAGTTGAAACTGTCCCACTTTGTATAAAATATTTGAATAGTCATTGGCTCAGAGGAAGAGCCAGTGACCCTAGCTCTTGGTAGTCAGGGCACTCAGCTGGGATGTGAGAGATCCAAGTTTAAGTCCCTGTGCTAATAACTGTTTGATCACTTATACAAAGTGGAACAGCTTCAATGGAGAGATTGAGAGCCTGCCCCAGAACGTCCCCTAGCCCAGCGGTCAGGGCACTCTCCTGTGGTATAGAAGATCCAAGTTCAAATCCCTTCTGCATATCAGGCAGAGCGGGGAATTGAACCCAGGTCTTCCCCCAGCCCAGGTGACTGTCCTAATCACTAAAGGTATATCTACATAGCAGCTGGGAGGTATGTGATTCCAAGCTAGGGTAGCCCAACACATGCTAGCTCTGCTCAAGTTAGTGCACTAAAAATAGCAGTGTAGCTGTGGTGCCGGCTTAGGCTTGCCACCTGAGTGTGATTCTGCCCAACCCCCTGGTACATACTTGGACAGCTAGCCTGAGCAGCCATCATGGCCATGCTGCTATTTTTAGCACCCTACGTGGAGCAGAGCTAGCATGTGTCTGTCAACCCACCCTGGGAATCACATCTCCCAGCTGCTGAGTAGACATACGCTAAAGGACTAATGGTTATAAGGGAACTAGCTCTTCCTCCATCAGCTGATTTGTCACTCTAGCCCTTCATATGCTTTGCTTTCTATTTTAAAAATGCCCAAAGACAAAAAGTTTCATTCAGCCTAAAATGAAATTTTTGTCAACTCACAAATTTGCTGAAATTTTCCAGCATTTTTGTTCCATTTTTCAGAACTGCCAGTGAAGCAAAAACCCAGTTCTTCACTCTGCTCTATGTGTAATACATAACTAAGCTTTTTAAAAAGAGGTAAACTTTTAGGCCCTGATTTTAATTTACACTAAGGCTACTTTCTGCTGCTCTGGCTGTGGGAAGGAGACTTAAAGCAGGAGTAAACAAGAATCAGGTTCTTACTGCTTAATAACCCCAAATTATCAGTTCCAACTTAGCACAAATTGCATTTATACTGGTAAGTAGGGGTGGAGCTGGTGGAAGAGGTGACTGAGCTCCTCAGCTTTCCCATGCTCTAATAACAACTCCTGATTTTCCCCTCTCTAGATTCCCTCTTAATCTCTCTTCCTGCCAAATCCTCCTCTTAACTCAGTGCAGGATCCAAAGACTAATTTTCAGTGAGGATCCTAGGTAGTGAAATTTCTCCCATGCCTGGGGAGGTGAACAGGATGCCCTAGTAGTCTGCTCCTCCCTATAGCTGACGTTTGTGTGTTGCAGCTTGTATCAATTCCCTTGTCTCAAGAGTGGTTTCCAGTCCTTTGCAGGCAGCACATGTGGTGCAGCTGTGGATCCTCGTCTTCCCCTCCTCACGCTTGTGGCCAGTGTTCACAGAAGCAAATCCTCTTCTTCCTGTATGCAGGCATTGTGGGATCTGTAGCAACAGATCATGTTCTCTTCCATCTCCAAACCTCATTGCAGCAATGCCTCGAGGAGGACCAGCAGTGGGGGTTCTGCAGCCTGGCTTCTCTTCCCTCTCATTAACTGAGATGAGGCATTTCTAATTCAGATGGGGGCAGCTGATTTAAATTCATGCTGCTTCCCCTCTCCCCTGTGCCTATGCCGAGAAAGAAATTTTCATGGAGCATGAGAGAAGGAGAGCCAGGAAGCAGCAAGAGCATAGAGATTGGAGTCCGCTGCATGCCCAGCAACCACAGCAGATCACACCCAGAAGGGTGGGGAAAAAACAAGCAGCTGTCATAGAAGGAAGGGGGAGAGACTGAGGACAACATTGTAGTCCAGATCTACACTAGCCAGGGAATTAGTGCCCAGCTAGCCCGAACAGGGTCAGTAATGATTCTGGCTAATGTGGCTGTACTGTCATGTAGACAGGGCCTAACTGGACACTGTAAACAGGGCTTACACTGGAAAAGAAAATTTTTCCATTTGACTTTTTACCCACAGGTAACCAGGCAGAATGCAGCTTCAAGAGACAACATCTGCCTGAGGGCTCAGCCTCTAATTATGCCAGCCTCTAATTATTACTGTTGAGGCATCAGATCCTTCAAACCTTTATCCACCTGCCCTTTAAACTCCCTGTTAACAGAGAAAAGGCTGCACTTTATTACTCCTCTTGTTTTAAGGCTTTAGCAAAATATGCAAGAAAAGACCTTTGCTGTCTCTAGGGATATTGCTATCAGAGTCTTGGATTATGAAACAGTCCCACAAATTATTTTATTCAGTGATTGAAGGAGCTGGCACCCGCTCTAAGATCATTAGATAACCAAAGGACATGTTGATTTTCATCCAATCTTTTGGTCTCCTTCTGACATTCAGAAATCCTCCATTAAGGTTTATATTAAACATTTCTGCCAAGGTTCTCTGTGTGCACATTTGTGTGTGCATTGGGAAATGTGGATTTGATTTGTGCATGTCAATCCAAGCTTTGGTGAGTTTAAAAACAAACCTGGAAGACTTCTGGTGAGCCAGCAGGGACAGCATAAGAGGCTGCTTTTGAAAAAGTCTCATAAAGTCAGGTCAATGGGCCATTCAAAACATAGATGAATTTGCTGCTTTAGCCTGATTGAGAACATCTCTTATAAGCTTTTTAAGGGGAAAAGATTTACAAGAATCAATGGTCTGCTGCATCTCTGCCAAAGGTTTAATTATCTGTCATATTGGTTACACCACAGGACTGCTTCCCATTAATTTATACCATTCATTTGATTCTTCCTTTCTATTATTTAAACATGTACAGACAGTCAAACTCAAATTCATTGGTGCAAATTATGTTATAACAGAATTGTTAGAAAATATTTTAAGATATTAAAAATAAAAGCAAACCCCAATAATTTAACCCTTGTCTGAGCTTCAACCCTCAAAGAACGGATTTTAAATCAGTGTTTATAATCAGTTATTTAGTCGAGTACAGAGACTCCAACCAAGATCAAAGCTCCATTGTACCAGGCACTATACCAACACATAGTAAAAACCGCTCCTTATCCCAAAGAGCTTACAATCCAAACAGGCACGATAAAGAGTGAGAGGGGAAATGGAGGCAAAGATACTTGCCCAAGGTCACTGGCAGATCTGGGAACAGAACCCAGGTCTTGTCACTCCCAGGCTACTGCACTGTCTACTAGACCACACTGCCTTTCTATCTTTTGTACTAATTTCAATAGACTTTCTCTGGGCTTTCATATCCTTTTGTTCTTACACAAAGTGAAGTTAACTATTTATTTTGTTGCTTCACTGAACCTGGACCAAATGATAAAGGTCAAAATTTTCAGACTCAGGTACCTTAAACTCAGGCATCTAAATCCATATTTAGGCATTCAGAACTCCTGCTTAAGTCATTGGGAGTTGTGGGTTCCTAGCATCTTTGAAAAATCCAATCACTTTTATTTAGATTCTTAAATATGGATTTGGATGCCTAGTTTTAGTCAGCCAAATTTGAAAACTTTTGCCATTTGGTATTTTCTCTACTCTCCGATGAAACGACTGAAGCTTTTAAATGAGAGAATAATGAATGGTGAATGTAGGAGGGAAAATGAACAGGGAGTGATTGGGGTACTCGCATAGGAGTTGGGAGACACAGGTTCAGTTCCCTGGTCTGCCACCAGCTTCCTGTGTGAACTTGGCAAGTTGCTTTACTTCTCTCTTTCTCAATTCCTCATCTGTAAAGAGAGAATGATAGTGTAGTCCTATTTCAGGGGTGTTGTGAGGACAAACATATTAAAGATTGTGGGTGTCACACTAAGCACCCCAGTATTCACATCCTACACACTGATGTAATCATCTTTGAACAAAATATGCCGTGTGAGGTATTATTTGAAAATTAATAACTCGCTGATCATTAATATTCTTGTGTAATATATGTACACAGTGGGTATTAAGAGTTATAAATCTATGCTGGAATTATAACTAAAGTGTGTGTAAACCAGGTATGTCGGGGGACTTGTTAAACAGGTCTATGGTAAACAAAGGAATGTGTTCACCTCAATTTACATATAAGCAGTAAACAGACCCATCAAGCTAACAAGGGATGGAGGTAAATGTTATGTTAACAAGTGCGGGAGAAGACAGAATGGCGTATACACCCAGCAGGAGAGAGAAGCTTGGTCTGGGTTTTATTTTTCAGAAGAATCCATATAAAAGGTTTACCAGTCTATAAAGATGACAAGGGGTAGGGGATGCTTGAACCAGTGATCAGATATCATTGTAAAAAGTATATATCAATACTACTGGAAGAATTATGAATACTCACACATTTTAAAATGTGTGGCCAAACAACGGAAGGAATAGTTCCCACCCAGACAGGAGGGGAAACAGCTATCTACCTGTTTTCTATGTTAATTAAGCATGGTGGAATCAAAACAATGGAATCCCCATTACATACAGGGGGATAGGAAGCCCACAGGAAGGAAAGAACAGCATGAGGTCACCCTGCCTCTTGAAACAAGTTCATTGAACTTTGAAAGATAAAAGCAAGGGCAGAAGCCATTTTTGGCATCCATCACAAGACAGACATGAGGAAACAGAGCTCTTGCAAGCTGAGAAAGATGGGTCCTTCAACAAAGGGGGAGTTGAAGTTTCTGGAACTGAATATAGGTGAGAAACTTGCTAAGGTAAAGATCTTGCACCTAGGATGACAAGGAAAGCCTTGTACTTTTGTGGAAGGTCCTGACTGTGGGAAAGTCAGCCATGTTGGGGAAAAAGAATGAGTGGTGAGAGAAACCAGCTTGAACAAAGCCTGTATCTTGCTAGATTAAGTTTTAGAATTTTAGAAGCATATTTTGGTTTGTTTTACTTGTAACTCTTTTAATATTCATTCCTTATATGTGAACTCACTTATTCCTATGTATATTTTGTTAATACATTTCTTTCATTTTTACCATAAACCAACTCAGTGCTGTGTTTAAAAGGAACTGTGTGTTCACCCCAGTTAAATTAAGCTGTGATGTGCTTTTGTGTTTTTAGAGGAATGAACAAACCATATAATTTCTCTGAGCTATCCAGGAGAGGGCTGGACAGTGAAAAACACACAGTATGGGAATGTGTTGGGATCACCGTGCAAGTAGTAATCAAGGCTGGTGGAAGCTCGAGTGGGGCTGTAGACCGGCTGCTGGGGTCAGAACTGTTAAACCAGTGCTGTTTGGCACACAGTCACTCGGCGTGACCTACATGCTGGTAGACTAGTCCTGAGCAGCCCAGGTTAAGAGCTACAACAGCAAAGCATTGTGAGGCACCCCAGGTTACAGGACAGGTGGTGATACAACCCCTCACTGGTCTGGATTGCACCCCGGTGCACAGTGACAGTGGGACACTCAGATAAATAAAATAAAAACAGATGGACAAAGAGGTGAAGTGACTCACATCATGCAACTGGTCCATGGCAGAGCAGAGGATGGTGAAATCCTGGCCCTGTTGAAATCAGTGAGTGCTTTGTCATTGACTTCAACAGAGCCAAGATTTCATCCAAGGTCTGTTGACTCCCACTCCTTTGCTTTAATCACCAGCCCACGCAAAAGCTGAGTTTGCATTTTTCTTAGTTCAGTAGAAGCAACAGGGTTTTTTCTCCTCAGTGACTGATCTGCTCCCCATGTGTTTTAAGCTAAATATCATTCAGGTACTGTTGCTTGCTAACTCTTCATTAACACACAACTGTTCACACAACACAGCACTCATGCACCCGCACATTCATTCACTGTGTCATTTTAAAACCAATATAAAAGATTTCCGTTTCAATTTCAGCCATTCATTTTCTTTTTTTTGTTTGTTTTCAGAAACCTCTAAAATGGAATAATACTGAAATTAACCCGAAATGACTGGAAAACTGCATATATTATGTAATAAGATCATCCACAACTACAAGAACAAACGAATCACGAAAGAAACACCGTCTTCCTTCTGTCTCATGAAAAGCTCCCAAGGCTGCAATTCAACTACACCAAGCCCCTGAGAAACTAAACTACTTTCACAATCATAAATAAAAAGTCATGCACGGTACTGGTTCCCCTAGTAAATATTTATTCACAAATTCATATAATTATGCCAATTAGGATACAATTTTGCCTTCTCAGTGCACCCAAGACACCCATTGATTTCCTAGGCCACTGTATGGCACTTGCTCCAGGCCAATTCCTTATTCTAAAGTGTCCTATAATTGTAAATGTTTTGGGGAGAGAGGGTAAAGTAATTCCTCATTTAATTAAACACTTGCAAATGTTCCGGGTTGAGTTTCAGGTGTGGTGTACTCAAAATTACCAAGGGACAGATTCTGCCACCCTTTCTGGTTCTGCGTAGTACCTTACTGTGCAGATAGTACCTTTGCTTCACAAGTAATCCCATTGAAATCAATGCAAGTGCTCACAGAGTAAAATACTACCCAGTGGGAGTAAGGGTGGCTGAACCTGGAACAAAGTAAATCAGAGTATTTTGGGTTAGATTGTGTCCATATGGGGGATAGGAAGGGCTGATCTTCTGGGCTCCTGGAGTAGGAGCCACTAAGAATCATAGCCTCTTTGTTCAGGAAGAGACAGTTGCTCAGTCTGGGAGTTATTTGCTGAAAACAGAACAAGGAAGCATGGGGAGGGGTGAGAGCAGGCGGAGTCATGTCTCCGTCCTCCCTGTGCGTTGTGAGCAGGGAGGACGCTGCACTTTTAAAAAGTTATGTAGCAAATTATTCTCCCATCCACACCCAAGCACAACTGGGCCAGTGCATCTCCACACAGCCTTTCAATGGGCTGTGCCAAACAGGAGCCATTAGGTCTTGATTAACGCTCTATCTGTTACATACAAATGGGTAACTGCCTGTAACAAAGAATATCCCAAGACAAGTGAGGTCACGGGAAAAAGAGCATACCAGATTCTTCATATTTTTTAAAAATTTGCTTTAAAATGTTTTCCTTTTTAAAAATATTTTTGAAAAATGAAAAATAAGTGCTTAGACAGTTCCATGAGAGGTGAAGGGTTTGCTGGATGCAAAACCTACCTGATGAGCATCTGAGGTACATTCATTGGTGCCCTACCACTATCCTTCTTAGTATTGTGGAAATAGCAATTATGGTGGGTATTTCTGCTTATTTAGATGAGGATGCTTTTAAATCTAGCTGTGAATGTACGAGCAGTGCTGATATGGGAAACATACATTCTGTACTCTCATATTACAAAGCAACGAAGCACCAAAAATGCCTACAACATTTTTCTGTAAATATTTTTAAAGAAAAAATCCCTACGATATATAGTATACCCTGAATTGCTGATAGGAAATCCATGGAATGGTTAGTTACCTGTATGGTAAATTCATTTAGGATTTCTTTGCACTGTTTTATATTAATTTAATTAGGGTAAATCCTTTTCCTTACTATAACCATTGTTTAAATTATTCCAATTACTAAACAGTACTTCAGAGACTGACCAATTTATTAGAGCATAAGCTTTCGTGAGCTACAGCTCACTTCATCCGATGAAGTGAGCTGTAGCTCATGAAAGCTTATGCTCTAATAAATTGGTTAGTCTCTGAGGTGCCACAAGTACTCCTTTTCTTTTTGCGGATACAGACTAACACGGCTCCTACTCTGAAACCTAAACAGTACTTTGTATGCACATGTTTTTATGCAACATTCGGCATATAAATAGTTAACATGAGGGACAGTTTTGGATGTGTGTCTATTGTATGTATGCACCCACCTTGTCTGTCTATTGTATACATAGGATTAATTGGGTAATGTGGCCTGTGAATGTACTGATGTGCCTCTTTGGATAGATTGCACAAAAAACAATATTTGCCTTTTTGTAGGTGAAAACAGTCCAGCTTGTAACATTGGCAAACCCAATCTTCTGCATAAATAAATGTAGATCATGCTGTATTTTACTAGGTTATTGTGTGTGGGATGTTGCCATTCAGTCAGTGGTTTAGAGATAAGGGATCTATTACTACCAAACTCTCCTTTAGCTCAAGTGGCAGAGGTCTGTGTTTTTGGAGCTACAAGGACAAATATAATAAAGCTCAAGCCTGTAAGTGGCTAAGCGCCTCCTATGAGGTGTTGAGCACCCTCAATTTTTGTGCCTGCTCAACTCATCATAGAATCAAGCTGTTATTGTGACAATCGTAGGTTTATTTCACAGCACACACATATATATATGTATATATGTATGTGGTGGTCTCTTTTGTAAAAATGAAGTCTCAGTGGTATTAGCCCTTACTGTAGCACAGGAGTCGGCAACCTTCGGCACGCGGCCTATCAGGGTAATCTGCTGGTGGGCCGCGAGACATTTTGTTTATGTCAACCATCTGCAGGCATGGCCCCTTGCAGCTCCCAGTGGCCGCGGTTCTCCATTCCCAGCCAATGGGAGCTGCAGGAAGCAGAGGCCAGCACCTTAAATAATAAAATAGTTGCCTTGTAAATGATTGGCATAATCCCTCACATATATTTGCTAGTTTAAAGTCTTAATTTATTTATTGTTAATGAGTGTTAATGAGCATTTCCTTCCACTGCACTCTCACTAAGGGCTTATTGCACATGGAGTTATTCAGAAACAGCCATTCCTGAATAACTCTACATGCAGCCGCCTTTATTCAGGAATAGGAATGCCTTGGGTCTGTTTGGCTTAACCCAGAAAGTGTATTAAATTAAATAGGGGCAGGTCAGCCTTATATTGGAATAAGAGTGTCCCACGTGGAGTTATTGTGTACACAAACCCGTAGTGAGACAGCATTTCCATGTGGATAATCAACATGCACATTTTCCATATGTTCCGCTTTTGTGCTTGGAGAAGATAAGAAAAACCTTTCTCCCAGCATTCTTCTTTAAATGCCAAAAAGCCTTTTGTTTAAATACAATGTGCTCCTTCTTTGTGTCAGACAAATCCTTATCTACAACACTCTTGCCAAGGAGTGCTGCTGTTGATGCTTGTTATCTCTCCACTTAGTGCATTTGATGCTTTCGTTACCTCTTATGTCTGCCCAAGTGTTATTTTAAATTTTTGCTTTGATGCCGCTCTTTTCAAGTATCTGACATGGTGTTAAATACTTGAAGTCTTCAAAGAGAAACCAAGTTTGCTTTCAAAGATTAGAAGCAGGGTATAATGTTTGTGTTGTGCTTGGGGGGAAGGAGGGAGGTTTAGGAATTGCTGGGCTGCTGCCTGTCTTGCAAAGCTCAGGAAGGACTAACACCATGCCAAGAGTCTGTTCAGGCTCTTCCTTCAGGGTACTGTTTAATCTTCAAACACAAAACTCACCAACAAACACAAAGCAGGTGCCCAGAAGCCCTTTGTGTCTCTCTTTACCCCACTCCCTTTCACTTCCAGGGTCTGCCACAGAACAGGAGCCAAACTCCTTCCTGCAGCAACCCCTTCAGCTGAGCTTGTTCAGTCCTTTACGGGAATCCCCTGACCCCTTTCCCTCCACCCAGCCCAAACACCCATTCTTAAAGGGGTTCTGCCTAACAGTAGGGCTGGCTGACCTCATGCGTCCTGGCCCTTAAAGTGGGTGACCATCCCATTACAGGAATACTTTTTTGTTTTCCAGTGATAGATTTGCCTATTTGGCTCTTCCCCCTTAGGTTTCATATCTCTTCTCTAAATGTCTCCACAGGATACCCTTTCCTGTGTAACTCATACTTCCTCTGATGAGGAAAGATGAAAAGAGTTCAATCAATATGTGGAGCATGGCCAAATGGCGACTCAGACCCTGATCCTGCAAAGACTACCGCACATGTTTGTCTTTATGTCTGTGAGTTCACCTGGATGTGGGAATAGTCATGGCATGTCTGCAGCTGCCTTAGCAAGCACCTGCCAGCTCAGGCTTCGCCTCAGATAAGCAACAGAATTGGCCTTAGCTATTTTTGAAAGTCTTGAAAAACAAATCTTTGTGTCCTCCCTTTCTCATAAACATACCTGATTCCCTCATAATCCTGCGAAGGTGTACAGGGGCAGATTAGGAAGAGTTAGTGAGATGATTCTATGCAGTACACTATAAATAACTGACTTTCTAATTGCTAATATCTAACCTAAATCTCCTTTGCTGCAGATTAAGACAATTACTTCTTGTTTTTCCTTCAGTAGACATGGAGAGCAATTGATCACAGTCTTCTTTATAACAGCCTTAACATTTTTGAAGACTTTTATAAGGTCCCACCTCAGTCTTCCTTTCTCAAGACTAAACATGCCCAGTTTTTTAACCTTTCCTCATAGCTCAGGTTTTCTAAACCTTTTATCATTTCTGTTGCTCTTTCCTAAAGTGTGGTGCCCAGAGTTGGACACAGTACTCCACCTGGGGCCTCACCAGTGCTGACTAGAAAGGGACAATTAGCTCCTGTGTTTATTCACCATTCCTGATAATATACCTAAGAATGATAGTCATCTTTTTTTGCAACTGCATCACATTTTTGACTCATATTTAATTGGTGATCCACTATAACTTCCAGCTTCTGTTCAACAGTACTACAACCCTGTCAGTCCCCATTTTATAATTGTGTGTTTGATTTTTCCTTCCTAAGTGTAGTACTTTGCACTTGTCTTTATTGACTTTCACCTTGTTGATTTCAGACCAATTCATTAAGGTTGTTTTTAATTCTAATCCTGTCTCCAAAGTGTTTGCAACCCCTCCCAGCTTGGAGTCTATAAATTTTATAAACATACTCTCCACTCCATTATCAAAGTCATCATTGAAAATATTGACTAGTAGAGGATCCAGATCTGACCCCTGCACGGGCTCAGTAGATCCACCCTCCTAGTTTGACAGCAAACCATTGATAACTACTGTGAGTGCGGTGTTTTAACCAGTTGTACACCCACCTTACTGTAATTTCATTTAGACCACCTTTCCCTAGTTTGCTTAGGAGAGGAGAAATCCTGCTACTTTCAACTATAATCCTTTCAACTACAGTAATCATGTTACATCTGTTTACATTTTCAAGTCTAATTTAGCAAGAAAAATAGCTAGAAATGTAGTTTGTGTTCTTTCTTTCTTTCCTTCCTTCCTTCTTTCTTTCTTCAAAGAATGAGGTTTGCTGAGTCTGGTTCCTGAGGCCAGCTTGTACAAGCTCCATTCACTCCTATCCCCCAGCCACCTCCTGCTCATCAGTCGGTATATACCCAAACAAGTGATATTTACTCTTTTTTTGCACTGTTGAGGATTGTTTGCAGAGGGAGCTGAGAAACAGTGTTAAAGATTTCCCACAACCACTGTGACTTCTGTCCTGCTGGAGGCCATGGATCAGGAATAGGACAGTTTTAAATACATATTTTAAGGGAAATACATTTTTAAACTAAACTTCATTCTCAAAGTAAGCCATCTTTTGTCACAAACATGAACACCTAAAATCAGAAAATACTGTAGAAAGCTAAACCCGAAAAGCATAACAATGAGCCAAATTCTGAAGTCTGCCTAACTAGTCCTTACTCAGGCAAACCTCTGTTGCCTTCACTGAGAATTTCACCAGAGAAACCACAGACTAAAAAGGAAATAAAGGTTTGACCAGTAAGGATATCCTCCTCAAAGTAAGTCAATGGGGCTTAATATGTATGCAGAACTCATTGCAGGATCAGGGCCTAAGTATTGTCAGTTCAAATTTGTGAGCACCCAATAATTATTTTTGAAAAAGAGGAATTGTTCAACTCAATTTTGTTTTTCAAAGTGCTGAAATTACTGATTGCCATTTACAAATTATTAATAAATGTAATCAATGTATGTAAAGAAATTTCTGGTTTTTAAAAATGTATTCTACAAATATATTCTAATTACAATACGTAGTTATGCTCCTTGTTGATTTATCTGGACATTTATGTTGTCAGCTCTTGTTTTTCCCAAAGACTCCATGGGGATGGAGCTAATTTAAACACAGAAAAGGTCAAAATCTTGTTTTCAAACTTTTCTTGAATACAATTAGCTTAATATTTTAACAGCTGGAAGCTGTAGTAATTACTTTTAGATTATACACAAAATCTGTTGAAGTATAATTACTCTGATCTATGAACCAGGTAATTAAGGTAAAAACTCCCACATTTTCTTAGACCTCATTAATGTATTTCTTTTGAAAATGGTTGGATAATGACAGGAATCATTAAAGCACATTAAAAGTTTATCCATAAAATGACATTGAGTAATTGAAATCTTTATCCTGGGACATTAAAGGACAGAATAACATTGAACTGCTCAATGTACTAACAATTATTTCTTGATTTCCAGTACAGATTTCATACATATTTGGGGGGAAACTGGCCAATCAAACTGAGCAAATGGCAAGGGTGAATCCTCACCCAGCTGCAACTGAGGCTACAAGAGCCCTTTTATAGTGGAAAAGGGCTGCAGCCGGGGTGAGGATCTCACCCCTGGTGTTTCCGACAAAGATTTTGCCCTTTGTACATGAATCAGGAGATGACGTTCCAATTGACTATTGGGTTGCTGGGC